AGGAATCCAAGACCTGTGGGAGTGTCTCAAATCCAAGCATCTGGGAGCTTGGTAAGGCTGCAGACAGCTCTTAATCCAGGTACATCTGAGTCTACCTTTTTGAATAGCTCTGTTAGTGTTTGTAGGAACTGATTGTTGTGTAATTTGACATGAAAGACTTCTTAAAGAGGATTACTTTCCCTTGTTTTTGGGGAAGGAGCTTAGACTGAAGGTTAGATCTTAATATAGAAGCTCCTGTTCTGTATGATTTATTATGACTGACACTTTGTACATTCTTTAAGAATTATAATTTCTATCCCTTACACCTTTGCAAGTCTGGTCTGGTTATACTCAAACTACTGATGTTATTTACACTGCCCAAGCAAAGTAGCGTTTGGTTCTCTATGACTGGTTTACACACCCACTGGAATAACTTGACTCAAGGAACTCAAAGCAAAATCACAGATTTCTCAGGGACTGTGAAATGAGAAGATAGCTCTAAGGGATTCTCATTTTACTTGCCTCAGCCCCAGACAGTTGTGAGCAGCGTGCACCTAAACCTGAGTTTACTAAAGGTACGTCGTATTAGACTAACACAATGTCTTCCCGAACTTGACCAATTCTCTGGACAAAAGTTACATCTAGCAGATTTCTTGCCTTAATTTCTCTAAAGCATTCGATGTGCTGGCATGTGGAAAATTCCTAGGTAATTTGGAGAAGAGAGGAATCAGCACAAAAGAATGGTTAATTAAAGTGGCTAAAGGAGTAACAAGTGGTGTTGAAAGAATATGCCGTGCAGTCGTGTAAGTCACGGACTTTAATAGTTGAGTAAAAAGAGGAAAAAAGATCGCTTGATGAATAGTCCATTGTAAAGTCCTTAATAACAGGGGCAGCATGGGATGGCATCTTTTATAAGTCCATTATTAGAACTGAGGAGGGAGAGGCACAGCATGTTTTGACTCAGAGCTGGAAGTTGCACACCCATGCATACAATGGTCTTGTGATGCAAACTGGAAACCCAGCCAGCCAGTTTTCCTGGTCTCTCAGCCATTACATCAGGATTGAATACTGGACAAGGCATCCATGGGGCCTTCCCAGATAGACGATACTCAGCTGAAGCCTGATATTCTCCAAGGCAGTGGTTACAGAGGCATTCCCTGAAGACGTCCGTGGTGGTGTTCAGCAGTTGTGGGATTTGCTACTGACCTAGAGAAGCGTTCATGTGATCCCTCCTCCAAGATGTGGGTGGCCTCAGATCATCACACACTGCTCGCTTGGGGCAAGGACATTTGAGAGACAAATCTCATCTTTAATGCGTTTAGTTTGGCCGAAGGCTGGGAACATCAAATACCAGGAAATCATTGTATGAGGTCCGTGTGTTTGGCCATATCTGCAGTAACTGTGAAAGGGCTCACAGCGAGTTCTTTGTCCTCGGCAGCTGAAAACATCCTGCACATTTGAGTAGGCCGCCAGACAGTAATACTGTCTCTAGCTGCGAGCATAAAATATGAATCGGGAGAACAACTCTGCTTTATGGCCCTGATCAGGATTTGTTCCTCCTTCTTACTGGAGCAGCATATTTGCGCCCATCCATTAAAGCGTGGGTGAGTTGTTCTCGTGGCAATTCCAATGGCTATGCGTTTCCCTCCTCACTGGCAGATACTCTTTATTTTTTATTGTTTTACGTAGAAAATGGAGTGGCTTTTCACTTTCCTAATGCAAAAAGGATTTTTTTTTGTTTAAAAAACCTGTTTCAGATTTTGAAAGACTACAAAAGGTGGTAGAAGGTTACAAAAGGGCTAGAGATGCTCAAATACTGTGCAGAACTTCTATTGTACAGCTGCTGCAAGGCTGTAGTTTCTTTTTTGTGTGTTATTTTGAGGCAGAACTAAAGCTAACTAATGTCAGCCATCCTGGCAGGGGTTAATGGCAGGCAGAGGCCAAAGTATACAGCTTGTACAAGTCTGTTATTACAGCAATTCTTGATGAACTCTGGTCATGTTGACAGAGGAAAAGGAACTTGGATCAGACAGGGAGGCTGTGAAATGCTGCATTTTCAAAACAGGGAGTGGGGAAGATGACAAGGTCTTCACTGTGCCTTTGGGTTTTGGGGGTCCCTTCTGAAGATAAGCACATAATTTGGGTCTTGTAGTGGGATGCAGTGGGATGAAATTCTTCCTCTCAAAGTAATGAGGGCTTCTTCTAGCTCCTTTGATAACCAAGGGCTTGATCCTGATTTTCTCCTCCGGAAGGCAAGTGAGTTTTATTTTTCAGTGAGGAGGAGCAGAGGGTATCCACCTGTGTCTGCCGGAGGCCTAGGGCTGTTATCTGCTCTTTGATCAGCATCTCACCTCTTACTGTTGTCTCCTGCAATCGGTGCTGGGATGGATCTGGCCCCTATTCTCCAAAGCTTCTCCGAGTCAGAGATTAAGGTAATGCCAGTGCTTGGAGGCAAGTGACACGGCCAGATGGTGCGGGCCTTGTGCTGAGCATTGGGGCTTTTTCTGATGCTCAGATAGCTCTGAAGCAGGATCTCCGCACTGTCTGTAGGCACTGTGCTGGCTCGGGAGGAGGAAAACCCAGCGACGGCAAACAAACAGGCGACAGCAGCTCTGTCTCCTGAGGCAAGAAGGATGGTTATGAAAATTCAAAGCAGCTCTCAAGATCTGTGGCCCACCAGTAATAGCTCTAGAAAGCTACCAGGGTGGCAAGGCGCACGTGATGCCATGGCGGCGTAGGTCTGGCTGTGCCAGTACTTGTTTCAGCCTCTTGCTGCTGCAGCTAGGCTAGGCTAAAATCAAATCCCCGTGGCTGTGATTAATGTGGTGAAGCTGACATAAGCTGAATGGATTTATGCCATGAGTTATGTAAAATGGGACTCATAAGATTGTTTGGCAGAGAGCTAAATCATTGTCTGAGATGATAAATATTACAGATAGAAGAAATCAGATCTAATCGGCTTGATCTTTGTCTGGAGTAAATCTGTGTGGCTCACATGAGAATAACAGTGCTAGGCTTGCTACAGATTGACTGAGGATATGCCATACAATTCCTGTGCTGGGGGTGATGTGGATTGTACCTCCCTATTTTTTCCTCAGCATTTAAGGGGTTATTTAATCTATACAGTCCCTTGTGTTTGCCTCGTTTCTTGGCTTTAGGGAAGATATAATT